AAATTTATTATCGGGCTTTCAATTATATTTTGTGACAACTCATCACAAAATATAATTGAAAGCCAGATAATAGATTTTCTCTAGACGGCACTTAGGCGACAAACTGTATACAAAATATAATTGAAAGCCCGATTGTAGGTTTTCCCTTGGCAGCACTCATATGTGGCTGGATCAAGTTTGAGAGATTCTAACGAAGCTGTTTGGCTTGTTTAGATTAAAAAAAAAAAAGCTATATATATATATACTGTACATATTTTATTTTAAAGTTGCAGGCATATTGTGAAATTGTAATCAATAATCTATTATTTCTAAAATTCTATAATATATCAAGAAATGACGAAGTATTCAATGACAAATACATGATGGTTTGCACAATAATTTGGTAAACCTACTGAGGGGGGGGGATATTCCATGAACATCCGGCGAATATTCGAATACAGATTTTCTGACGTGACTATTTTCACGTTACACCTGATCTTGAAATGCTATTGGTCAAAAGTTACTTATACGCGACTATAAGTTTTTCGCGAGTCGTTTGCCTGTAGTTTTAAAAATGTTCTTTCCATTGATAAATTATTCTCTACTCAACAATAAGACATCTTTCGAATTCGAGTCTTTCCAACGATTTTTAATTAGAACTTATTTTGACGTAACTGAAAGCGCATTCATCACTAATTATTTTTCGGCCTGTCTCCAGGAACAGGTTTGGGTTAAAAAATGTTTTACCAGGATCCAAGTGAAGCGAGGTAGATAAAAATGATGCCGATTTATCGGCTTCTTTGACATTTATACTAATATTGTGTTGAATATTATCAATAAAGATTACTTAAACCCTAGCTTGGTTGCTATGGGAGTATCAAGCGACTTCGAGAACGCAGTGTAATATAACATTTTGTCTCAATTGTATATCATGAATGTTTTATCAATTATCTTGGATTTTCGTTGATTTTTTATAGTTTGGCACCTTATTTGATTTTTTGCGGTTCGAATGCGACAGAATTTCAGCTATGTCAGCTTGGAGAGTTCGAGAGAACATGGGAAATTAAATTCACAGAAAAAGAAACGCATGGATTTTCATTTTATGGTAAATTATATCATTTATGAACAATTTGTACTTCTAACATTTATACTGTGGTAATGTAGGTGCTGTAATTATGGATGGACCAATGGTCGCGTTTGTTTATCAAGATCTCTCCGAAACATCTGATAGTACTCTTGGCGAATTTGAAGAAAACAACACTTATATACTTCTTTGGAAATCATCTCAAATTGATTCTACATGTTCCTTTGCTATATCAGCATATTGTATTTATGGTTTTTGGTTACCATTTCAACATGATGAGCATCAAAATATGAATGACTTTTGTAGAATTATCAATGTGATATTTCGTCCGTTATATGAGCCTTACATTAAAATGATATGCCTGAATTATGATAATCTCACGTCAAAAAATAATATTTTATCAAGAATCCCTGGGTATTATGTAAGGATCGTTACGTGTCTATCAAGGTCTCATGAAAAGGAGATCATCTGGGTAGGGACTTCGCAGAACCAGATTATATGTTTTAATGGTAATAGTAACACAGGAGAGATGAAACTTGCATGGTGTACTGTCATTATTGGAATGCCTTTATTGATGTAAGTGTGTGCTGCATTAATTAATTGAAGAGCACATGTTTAATATGTGGAAAGCTCTTAGAAAGCAGGTTCGGCTGGATAAACAAGTTGCAAATTGTGAGTCTGTATTGATTGTTCAAATTGTAGATGGCAGAAATATTATAATTAATTCAGAAAGTGGAATTATATTACAAGGTATCATACATAAAGGAATTAGCATAGTTTTTGTGTGCACATTATAACAAAATTGAAATTTCTTTAGAAATTTCGTCGGATTATAGTGTCGTTTTTGGTGAATTTTCTCAAATTGGATTTTATGAAATAATACTCGTACCTCATTTATTTGAGAGAAATGCATCATCCTGTAAAATGATTCATTTAAGTAATCTACAAGAGAATGACATGTTATCAGATAATAATGGCAGGTTATTTCTAGTTAATGATATGATAAATTTAATAAAAATTGACCTTTTATTAAATTATAAATTCCTTAAATAAACAGTAACTCAAGCCAAAGATATTTCACACATGAGTTCTCTTATCGATTCTCTCTCTAATAGAATATATGATGGGACTGCCCAAACAAGAAAAATTAAAGAAATGGTACATTCTTGTTTTTTATTTATATGATGCTATATGATTCTTGTAGGATATCATAAATTTATTAACTATATATAATTGCTTATAGCTAGATCAAAAATATAACCTCTTGGCACATTGTGATTCATTACTTGAATGTTTTTCTGATATATTTGCATTTTATCATCTTCATCAAGTAACATTAAAAAAGAGACATTTATGTATCAACAAGTCTATTGGAAAATTACTTCCACTTCTTATCGATACACCAATTATGATGGAAGATATGAATGAGTCCCTTACTAAAAATAATCAATACCTTCGTGTATTGGATGCTAGGGTCGTTTATGGTGAAATGAGCAAAAAAGATAGAGTATTGATTGAAGTCTTGGTGCAAAATCTTACTTGGTAGGTTATATCGACTATAAATTTTCTTAAAACATTGACCTGATCCACAACTTACGATTCTTATCAATAAATATTACTTATTATATAGCCATGAGCTTTATTCCGTTCATTTGGCTGCTTATCTTAAAAACACATCCAAATTCGTTTCATCGTTGATTAGAATACGCTCCTCTTGCGTTGAAGTATTTTCAGGCGGACAAGAGAGAAGGATAACAGCATTGGTAGACTTACCGCTTGATATTATTTTAAGTGGCCTAGAATTTGGTGTGTTACTATGGTATAAGTCAGTCGTAAAATCAACCTTTGATCAATCAGCGTATTCGTTTGAAGATTATGAGTGGCACTCGTTGTATGTTGATAACATCCGAACAACAAGTGCTATGAAAAATGGTTAATTTCTGGTTATTTGATTTTGGTGAAAATCTTTCAATATTATATATTTCACTTTAACTGGTGCTCTGTTTTTATTTCAGATATAATTGATTTACTTCCCTCCGTGTCGTGTATGGTTTTTACTACGCCAATTTCTTCTCAAAAACAGTGGAACTTAACAATGTTACCTTTTCTTTTTGAGCAATACCTTGATGTGGTAGACAGTAATGTGGTAAATCATTCGTTAATTATACTATATAATTGATGTTTTCTTTTTCGTTTTGTAAATGATAATGACTAACTAAAAAATTAAACAAATAAATAAATTAAGAATAAAAGCTTACTTCAAGAATTTAGATCCGCAGATGAATTGTGTCGATTAATACTATTACGGCCTTATTGCAATATTAACGAAAATGATTATATACGTCAAATGATGATAATACGCTGTCAAAATGATCGACGCTTGATCTCTACACTAAAAATCTTGTGCAGAGAAATATTTGGAAATATCCTATTAATTTATTTATGTCATATTGAATTTAATTCTAATCCAAATTCCTTAACTAGACTTTATATATATTACGCCTAATAGTTTCCATCCCTTCACCAGTATTCACATCGAATCAAAGTTTAAATAACTTCAGTTTAATAATTGATGTCCTTGAAGAAATGACCGGTTTAAATCCTGAACATAAAGCTAATAACCAGATACAAGATCCAAGACGTAGACTATGTACGAGAATGGCGGCCTGGTTATCCACTTTATAATGGTTTTATATGAAATTTAATATTTTGATTTATGAAGCATGTACAGATTAGCTCAGTTGGCAAATATATAATACAAGAAATACTTTTATTATAATATACAATAATTATAGTAAATAATAATAAAATAAAATACAATATACAGTTAAACCTCTATATAAACAACTATTTTATGCCAGTTACAAAAAACTATATAAATTAGACTTTACAAAAAATAATTAAAAGCTTAGATCTTATTTTTATTAGAATATTAGATCTGACAATTCAAGCACTTTAGTTAGTTAGAAATAGTATACTTGGATTTTGGCAATTTTATTTGCTTCTGGTTTATTCAAATTTTATTAAAGAATTAAACCTTGTCAAAATATAGAAACAGGACAAGATTTTGAGAACCTATTTTCAGATTCCTAACTTAAAGAAATTAGTCTTAATAATGCAATGCTCAATGAAGTAATGAAATCTAATAACTATAGAGGTACTTATTTAATGGTAAATAGATATGAAAATTACTTTAGATTTAAACTAGCTGTAAACCCGGGCGTTGCTCCGGGATAAAATTTAATTTTTTAAAATTTGATTTTTTTATTTGGTTTATACTTAAAATAACCGGCGGTGATCATCACCGGTGTATAATTAACTAATAACGATAAACTAAAAAAATATCTTATTTCATTTACTTTAAGTTTAGGATAAGGCCTGAGATTTTAGCAAGGTGTTAAATATATGCAAAATTTAGCGAGGAATTTTTTTTGTTAGAACGTCAAAGGTAGTTTCATAGGAGAATTCTTGAGATATCAGCATTTTTTTTAAAAAAAAACTTTAATTTGATTACACAAATTGATTTGCACGTTACACCTGATCCTGCAATTTTATTGGCTAATTATGCACCGGTGATGATCACCGCCGGTTATAGTTAGTAAAATTCTTTTTATTTATTTTTTAATTTGTAAGCTTTTCTAAATTTAAAAAAAAAGCATTTCTATTTGTATACATTGTGTATATATATAGTTAATATAAAGAGCCAATCAAAATGCAAATCAGATATAATGTAAAA